AGCGTCTCCTACTGTATGTCCCAGAAACTGACGAGGCAGCATTATTTATTTATTTATTGGTATTACATTATTCAAGTGTATATCAAAGAAGTAGCTCTGTATTTCTCTAGACTACTGATGTAGCTCTGTTTAACAAAAGGTTGTGACCCCTGCACTAGACGTTACGTGGTAATATAATTAATGTCCCTTTATTAAAGCAGTGATTCTCCACCACTTTGATGCAGCAGTAAAAGATCACCAGGTTTGCTGTGGAATATTGCCAATTTTACTTAATTGGCAATTGAAACCAGAATATTATATCAGGTTATTATATACATCAGTATATTTCATAACATGGTCACTTTTTAGACATTTTTGTTTTGGTGGTGATTTGTATATGTGGCAGCATTACAGAAGTTGTTCTCACATAACTAGCACAGCATAACTAAAGTCATCCTTTATTTATTTATTTATTTTATGGTCTGTATTGTCATTGTCAGGATACAATGAAACTGACCCTCTACTTTTAATCCATCACCAAAGTGAACAGTGGGCAGCTTTTAAGCGCCCAGGGAGCAGTGTGTGGGGACAGTGCCACGCTCAGAGCAAACCAGTGTTAGAAAATGGTGTAACAAAAATTTAGAAAACCATGAAAGCTGAATTGTGTTTTTAATTATTTTTTAATGAAGAAGTCAATTTTAATGTTCTTCTTTTCAACAGGCATTGATGGGAAAGCCATATGGCAGCATTCCAAGAAAGACTGTCCCTAGGTCTGAGGAAGCCAGTGCCATGAATTTTGCTGTCCTGTGGGACTGTGGGGTGAGTTAACATCTTGATCACTGCATTCATTGGAGGTTCTGTAATGTAGCGGTTAGCACACCTATATCTCTTATGTGGCATCTTGTGTTTATTATAAAGACTCACACTGTAAATTTCCCCAATGTGGGATGAATAAGGGAGTCATTTATTATGAATTATCATTATTATTCATAATATACAAAATGACACCGCTTTTTCAACTTATTTCTTCGTTCAAGGTTTTTTATTGTTATTTATTAAAATATTTATTCAAAGATGAATATAACAAGTCAAGTCAATTGTATTGGTAACAAACAAATTAATTTTCTTCAATGGAGTCAATAGACTGTTGTCACTGACACCAGATGGCCTTATCTATTCCTATTAAAAACATCCTGAGAAATGTATTCAACCACATTTGAAAACTTGTACTTATCCATTTAGTGACACTTTGATAAATCTTCACAGGGTTATGCTCAGTATTCAGTCCTTTTTTATGGATACTACAATGACCAACGAGCTATTGGCTGGTTGAAGTTTCGTATGCCTCTCTCATACTTCCTGGTCGGTGTTGGAACAGTGGCTTACAGCTACATGGTGGTCATTAGAACGTATGGTTCTTACTATTACAGCATGTACCTGAGTGATCTGTTAAAATTTTGATGCACATTGTGGTCATTCTGATCACTTCCTGTTTGAAGGATGGCCCGTAACGCAAACGAGTCTGGGGTGGGAGATGATAACAGCTTCAACTTTAGCTGGAAAATGTTCACCAGCTGGGATTATCTGATTGGAAACCCTGAGACTGCAGACAACAAGTTTGCCTCCATCACCACCAGCTTCAAGGTCAGAGGAGTAATAATCGAAAGAGTTTTAGTTCAGTCAATGATTCTTTAAAAAGTTTCCATTGTCGTCACATCACTAAAATGTCCCTTAAATGTTTTACATTGGCATTGAACGTTATGTTCTTGTAAGACACTCTCTTTCTAAGGTGTCTGTCTTTTATGGACATATTGAACAAGTTGAAAAGCATTTTAAGAAGTCAACATCACTTACCTTCACGTTTTTAATCTTCAGGAGGCCATTTTAGAAGAACAAGAAAACAGAAAGGACGACAACATCCACTTGACCCGGTTCCTAAGGGTTCTGGCCAACTTCCTGGTCCTGTGCTGCCTAGCAGGAAGTGGCTATCTTATCTACTTTGTAGTCCGGCGTTCACAAAAGTTTGCTCTAGATGGACTGGAGAATCACACCTGGTGGGAAAGAAATGAGGTCGAACATTTTTGTTAAATATATTTTCTAACAAAATGTTGAAAGAAATTGGATAAATTATACAATTTAATACATTGTTGCTTTCTTAAACGTACACATTTATGTTCATTAAGTAATGTTAGCACAAAAAATGACTTCACCCCCAGGTGAACATGGTGATGTCATTACTGGGGATGTTCTGTCCAATGCTATTTGATGTCATCAGTACTCTGGAGAATTACCACCCCCGTGTGGCGCTCCAATGGCAGCTGGGTCGGATCTTTGCTCTTTTCTTAGGAAACCTCTACACCTTCATCATTGCCCTGATGGACGAGATCAATGTCAAAGTGAGAGCCACATTTATATAAGCTGTGAAAATATCTTTAAGCTGTTGTAGAAAACTGTAATTATTTCTGTGTTTTCTCCAGAGAGAGGAAGAAAAGATCATCAAGTTCAACATCACCATGTGGGAATCCAACCTTTACAATGGCACAGGTTCAGAAAATGGTACCACTGTTTCACCCATCATCATTCAACCTGCTGATGTTCCTCGGGGGCCCTGCTGGGAGACCATGGTGGGACAGGTCAGGTTCTGAAAATCTTGTTGATGTTAGTTTAAAGTTTAAAACCAAACCTTAGAACCTATGCAAAAGAGTATGTGAATCATGAAAAATAAGTGGAAAAAAAGGTTATCTCTATATATAGTAAAAAAAAAAGAAGAGGTATGTATATAATTGTGTATCATCAACTGTGGATGCTGATATTATGCCTTCTAATAATATCTCCTAATGGGATCATGAGTAATATCGTGCTAAATATTGAATCTTGAGGAGCTCTTTAGTTTACTTGTGTACAACTAGGTGAAATATTGTTGACATGAACAAACTGAAGTCCTTCAGATCAGTATATTGTAAATCATTTAAGTACAGTACCTTCAATGTCACATTTCTGTTCTAATCCTTGTAAGAGTATATTTTGATCAGTTATAGTCTTTTGCTCATTGTGATCAAATTTAAACAAAGCGGCTTCAGAAAAGCAAGAGATCCAAAACCATTTGACAATCATTCTATACACAAGAACACAATTTGCATTGGCTACTTAGTTTAGAAATGCAAACAAGGTAAGCACCGGGAGGCCACATAAACTGGCGCCACCTTGAGTCAATACAAAGCAAATGATGAAGTTTGTGAAAATAGAATACAGTTGCTGAGTGTGTTGTTGAGTTGTAATGTTTTTGACGGAGGCAGGAGTTTGTGCGTCTCATCATCTCTGACACCATGACGACCTACATCACACTGCTGATTGGGGACTTCATCAGAGCGGTACTGGTCCGATTTCTCAACTACTGCTGGTGCTGGGACCTGGAGGCTGGATTTGTAAGATGTTTGTTTTGGTTTTAGCACAGCTCAATTGTAAACAGAAGCAAAAAATCTAGATTGACTTTTGTTTCCTGTGTTTTCTTCTTTTTTTTTTACTGAAGCCCTCCTATTCTGAGTTTGACGTCAGTGGAAATGTACTGGGCCTGATCTTCAACCAAGGAATGATTTGGTGAAAAAAAATTACAAGAGTAAATTGTAAATGAAAATGACACTTGTGGATCTGTGGTTGGTTCCTGAGAGGCTTTGATTCAACACACTCTAAACTTTAGAGTCTAAACTTTAGAGTCTAAAGCATGTTCTGAGGTCCACTACTGTCCTCTCCCTGCTTCTCATGCAGGATGGGAGCCTTCTACGCCCCCTGTCTGCCTGCCCTGAATGTGCTGCGCCTCCACGTGTCCATGTACCTGCAGTGCTGGGCAGTAATGTGCTGCAACGTTCCTCAAGAACGAGTCTTCAAGGCCTCCCGCTCCAACAACTTCTACATGGCCATGTTGCTGGTCATCCTCTTTCTGTCCACGCTGCCGGCCATCTACACTATTGTCACTATCCCGCCCTCCTTTGACTGCGGACCCTTTAGGTAGCATCCGTTCTCTTTGGGTCTGGACTATTTTTAGTGGACCAGATTTTTTTTTCATTGTGGTTTTTGTTTCTCAGTGGGAAAAAGCGAATGTTTGATGTGATCCAGGAGACGCTAGAGTCCGACTTTCCCTCTTGGTTCAGTAAAGTTTTCATCTATGCTTCCAACCCGGGGCTAGTGCTGCCCTTTATCCTGCTCATGGTGTGAGTCAGCCGACACAACCAATCACTTTTAAGCACTTTCAAAGGTGACAGATCTTATTGACATTCATCATAATAATGATTCACTTTCATGCAGTCAAAATAAAGTTATGATATGAAAGTACCCAGTGCTAAACCATTATAATGCCTAGAACATTAGGGTTCTAATAACGTTATAGCTGCTTTTAGCAACTTTAAATTTTCTTCTATTGTTTTAGTTTTTTTGATACATTTTTGACATTTTATGGGCAAACTTTTTATATTATATTATAACCTTTTTATTTTACAGACTAGCCATCTATTACCTACAGTCGACATCAAAAAGCTACAAAGAAGCAAATGTGGAACTGAAGAAAAAACTACAAACAGTAACAAAAACAACACTGTTTTTCTTTATGCCATCAACTGCACTGTGTTGTAGCTGTGTTAAATACTTGGCTCAGAGCTACTCTGGAGTCCAGCTACTTTGTAGTTGCATTTCCATAACTGTTTAAGTCATTTAAAGATCTATCAGTTATCACATTAGAAGTGACCTCTGCACATTGTCGTGTCCCTCCTTTGTTAGCAAAATGAAGAAAATAAGAAGAAGAACAAACAAGCAGCTCTCAAGGCTCAGCTGGACCTCGAAGAAGCGCAGAAAGTGGCGTCACAAGCTCCCAAACCACGATACAAAAGTGAAAAATTCTGTTATAATTCTCTCAGTGTGACAGAAAAATGCCAGCAAACCAAAACGTGACAGAGCAAGGTCTGGTACATTTCAGTTTACAGGATACATGGCCAAGAAAGATTGTATTATAACTTGTATTATACCCTTGTATTGTCTTCATTCCAAACCTCAGTGATGTTTCCTCTTGTGTCTAATTATTTTTTGTGCTTATTTTCAGATGTTGAAGAGAACTATGAGGACTACATAAGGCCTTATCATGGTAAGGATGGATGCAACCATCCTCCTGCTGGAGATCAAGAGCACCAGCGTCTGGCCAGCAGGTCTTATCACCACGGCCACCAGGGAGCAGCAGGATACCTCCCTGGTTTCCCTCAGCAGAAGGAAACTAGACTGTATGGCATGGCCAGTTTGAAAAGACACTGAGAAACAGCAGAAGAAACGACAGTAACAACAACAGCAACAGTAGAGGCTGGAGCAGCAGTGACAACAAGAACACAAGCTGTTACGTACATTTTACTTAGTATAGTCTCACTGGAAACTGGAAACACGTGTTGTACCAGCCTGATATTCTAGTACCATATCTTTCGGACTATAAGTCATACTTTTTCCATCCCTTGGCTGGATTTGCAACTCATACCTGAGTATGTGTGTATGTGAACCAGTATGTGCTACTCCTGTACCACTGAAAATGTACATGTTCGTTATTTTCACACCCATAGCCACTAGAGAGCAGTGGTGTGACTTGTACTCCCGAGACTTATATATGTTGTTTTTTTTCTTTCTTTCAGTTTGCTATTTCTGGGTGGTGCAATTTATACTCGGGAGCAACCTATAGTCCGGAAAATACAGTACAGTGTGAGACTTATGTTGGACCCTCTTCGTTATTTACCGAGGTGTTCTTTAGCTGTTAAAATTATGTTGTACTGATGCCTCTACTTCTGCCTTTTTTCTTTTAAAGCAACATACAGTCGTCTACCTTTTAGATATTGGCCTCACTGTGGTCAATCTGACACCGTAGAAATGTAAATCAGCCCTATTGATCTACTGTGACCTGATCAAAACCACTTTTACTGATTTTCTCCATTCATTTTGAGCATGTAAAGCATTAAGTTTTCATTGTCATTGACACAAGATCAGGAGTAGGAGGAAGTGCTCGGCCCAAGTACTGTCAATCACATGATTTAACAAAGTCTGAGAAGAAAGTCAATCCGCCCTCTTCTCTCCCCTGTCCTCCTCCGTCTGGTTTGTCCGGGTAACACTAACCACCTGATGTCTGCTC